AAGGGGGCGGGCGGGGGGGGGGAAACGAAAGAGAGGCTGCGTTACGGCCAGACTGGGAGTGGGCAGGAGGGTATCAACAACAAGGCAGATTTGCAACCACTGGAAAGCTTACTGGAAACCCTCACGTCGTGGCGGGCAGGAAGGAGGGAATAGGTTAGGGATGTCTACTCCTGGCCACCGCCTACATCCTGGGGTCAGCACCTCGCTGGATCTAATGGGCACTGGCCCTCACTACATTTTGACTGCACGTGGGGGGGGGGGAACTGTGTCTTAGAATACCCTGCCCTAGATTAAAACATTATAAACTCTTTCCACATATACAGCTGGATTAGTGAAGGTGAAAGCAGGAGCCAAGCCTTGACATACATATCAATTCTGAGTATGGAGGGGAGTTTCTTATCTGCGGGATCATGAATGCTTGACAGCCGGCACCACTTGCAACTGGAAAGGATACCGATACATCCAGTGAAACACCTGATGGTCTGTTTGCAACTAGCTGGAGTGAGACAGACACAACTCACACTTTCTTTTCTGTTGGATGCAGGGGGCATTTCTGTCCTGGCGTTATTTCCAGCCCACACATCCCTTGGCCTAGCATTATCCTCCAAATCCTATGAAAAACTGCATAGGGAAGAATCCTGTAGCATTTTGTTTCCCTTCTCCTGCAACCTGTGTTCATGGAGTCTGCCAGGCAGCGGATGACTGTCTGTGGTGAGCAGGGTCAAGGTCCACCCACACTTCCCCACCACCAGTGCCTTGGAGGAATCCCCTTAGAAGATTGGGAAGGAAGGAAGGAAGGGCTACCTACAGCTGCAAAAGCAATGGGCAGTTGCTTCCTGCTGGGAGAAGTAAGTTGGAAAGGGGGAAAAAACAATAATAAAAACCACTCCATGGCATGCCAGGGTCTGAGTGCAGCAGCAAAAGTGTGAAGGGCAACTGAAGCTGTTGAGGAGAAACAGAAGACTGACCAACATCTCTACGTGTGGCTTGGCAGAGAGAGGGGGAGAGCTCTAGGGAGGGATCAGCCCCAGAACAAAAAGGAAGTGCAATGGGTCGAGGTAGGGATGGAGAGTGAGCAGGTGTGGGGAAGACACCTCTGCCTTCGGCGCCGCCTGCCTCTCCAGGGGAAGCTAGCGTGGTTGAGTTCAACGCTTCCTGTAGCAGGGGCAGCTCAGTCCTGGCTCTGTTCCACATAAGGAAGGGAGAGGTAGCACGGGCCTCATCCGTGCCCTTGAGTCCTGGCAGCTCTCTGGGGACACTGGCAAAGCAGTGCCTTCAAATGGGTCTCTGAGCCTCACCCCTCCTCTGGTGCCCAGGGGGCAGGAGGCCTGGAGTGGACGAGGGGGGGAACCTCCCTCAGAGCAGCAGCTTGCCGTTGCGATGGATCTTCAGGATGCGTCCAAGCCGCTGCTTGGCGGTTGCTAGTCCCTTCTTGGGGCGCTTCCCTGGAAGAATGGGGAGAAATGAGTGAGGCAGGGAGAAGGCTAGTTACCATTCTGAGGTTTACCTAAGTAAGATATATCCCTTTTTCTCCTTGGAGAACAGACGCTTACTGTGTTAGGGCAAGGGAACACTGGGCCCTCCAAATGTTGTAGGAGCACAGCTCCTATAGTCTTTTGCCAGCATTGGCAATTAAGAGGTATACTGGGAGCTGGGACGGAACACTGTTCAGAGGACCACCTTTTTGACACCTCACTGCTAGATAAAGAATCAGAGAAAAGCTGTGGCCTCAGGATCAGCCGAAAGTGGAAAATCAAAACAGCACCTTTCTTCTTCTCCTTAATTAATCCTGCCCAACAATCCACGGGGTGGTGGTGGTGGTGGTGGTACATGTCACTCAAATGAATGGCTATGCTCTTAAGAACCCATTTTCAATGGAGTTTGTGGAAGACTGTTTTCCAGATGTGGGCAGCTGTGATGGCCAACCTGCCTGCCTCTCTTCTCCCCAAATTTCTGCCTGAGGGGCAGTAGCTCTCCTTCCCTCATGGAACGGGCTACCTGCTAATTCAGGAAAACATTATGGTAGTTTCCTGTGTGGAACCATGAACTCCACTGCAGTGGAGCTAGCAGCCAGGTGGCTTGTTTAGACAACAGGATATTCCTGGATCAAGGCAGGATGAGTCAACATCCTCCTGGTGGTGCCAGGATCCGTGACTCAACTTGCTCTGACCGTTGCTTTGTTTAATATATTACTACTAGTAGAGTCCACAGAATGAATACTTCAGAGAGTTCAAAAAGCTTCACATATGTTACTTTGCAATCTTTACAAAAGCAGGATGAAAAGCAGGTGAGTATTCTCCCGTGAGGGCAAGTGAGGTGCCCAGAAATGGGATTCACATCGGGGACCGTGGCTCACATGGGTCACTCGGTAAGCTATTGTGCTACTTTACACTGGCTCAACTTGTATTTATCCCAAGGCGAATGGTGTTATTTGTATCGGGGGGGGAGGGGGGCAGACCAAGCAATTCTCTACGAATCTCAATCCTTCACCTCCTCTAGGCCACTGGTTCTTAACACTGGGCTACTCAGGAGTTTTGGACTGCAACTCCCAGAAGCCTTCACCACCAACTGTGCTGGCTGGGGTTTCTGGGAGTTGCAGTTCAAAAGCATCCGAGTAACAAAGGTTAAGAACCACTACTCTAGGCCCACAGGGTCTTAGGGCAGGGCTGAGTGACCCCCCCCGCTCCTCCTCCTCCTCCGCTCCTCCTTTCCCATTGGGTCTGGCTCTCCAGCTGCTCTACTAGCGAAAGGCCAAGAAAGGCAGATTACCCTGTGCTGCTTGAGGGCCCGGTGAGCCAGCCGAGGGGCGCCGCTGGGACAAGAAGACACCTGGTGCCATGGGCGTGGACCCACGATTCACTTGGGCCATTCCAAAGACGCTGGGCCGGGCGGTGTACTCATGATCCACCAAGCTGCCGGCAAACTGCTCCTGCTTGGGTTCTGGTGTTGGAGAGGTCGGCACAGGGACCCCCAGGCCTGCCTCTGGATCCTGTTGTGGGGTTGGCAAGTCCGGCTCCACTTCTGCTTCTACGGATTCTGGCTCTGGCTCCGGCTCCGGCTCCAGCTCTGGGCTGGGCGGCTTCGGAGACAGTGGCTTCCTTTTTACAAGCTTCCGCCGCTGCGACTTCTGATGTTCCTTAAGACAAAGCACAGATCTCTTATCCAAAGCTGAAAGGAAAGCATTGCTAATTTTTCACAGGGCAAGGGAAGTGCCACTTGATGGGACAAGAGTTTCCAGAGGCCTGTTGTAGCCTATTCTGATCTCAATCACTAAAGTTGTCCATAGAGCTGGAGATAATAACTGACTAAACTGTATGTGTTTTGGTCATTACTGTGACATGCTGAGAGAATGTGGATATCAGCCCTGCGAACAAGGCGAAAACTGATACTAAATAAATGCATCACGCAGGCCTTGCAAAGATACAGCATAAATGGGAGAAAAAGCTCTCTGCAAAACTCTAATCTGTTCCTGTCCGGTTCCCCATGGACTGCCCCCCATCAAGAAGGGAGTCTTGCCAGTTACTGATGAGTAAAGTCCACTGACATCATGGAGGACTTCAGGGGGAACCCCATCCAAACAACTCCCAACTATGGGAACAGATTGCTGAGAGGGAGACAGTAGTGAAACTTTGCACAGCTCTTCTTACATTTTTCTACAGATGAATTAGTTCCAACATAGCTACAAATGCCTAGTGCATGCATAAAGATAACAGGGACCTCAAGATATCCCAAAACTCTTGCGTTTATGGAACAGAAGGCAAGCCTTGAGTTTCCAGGATGGTGCCGTCTGTTTCCACCATTTGCACCCGGCCAGCAAGTCCTGACCATTACCTGCTGAGCCAGTTTAGCTGCTGCAGCTGCCAGGCCAGTCTCGACAGAGGCCACTCGGGTCCCTTCACGTACAGGGCGGTCTTGCTTGGGCAGCGATGGAGTCACCCGGGCTGTGAGGAAGGAAAATAGGGCATTCACAGGAGGCTCCTTGCTTGTTCTCAAGGGCACCTGTGACGTCACCAGGAGGGAGTAAGACACGCCCTCCTCTACCCCTTCCCAACACACGGCTGTAACTTCTAGAGTGGATCCGAGAGAGGAAAGAAAAATAACCCCATGAGAGGCCAATGGTCTCTTATACAAGAGGTCGTCAACCCCGGTCCGCAGCCCAGTGCCGGTTCGTGAGCTGGACCAGGTAGCGAAGACGGACCTCCCGCCCCCCGGCAAGCACTCCCCTCCCCACAGCTGCTTTGCGCACGTGCGCGTGCCAGCACCGGCGTAAACACTCCCCCGCCCCTTCACACATGGGCTCAAGTGCCCGTGCACCTGTGCAAAGGGGCGGGTGGACGTGCAGACACCTGTGCATGCACAAAGGAGTGGGGGAGTGCTCACACCGGCCCTGGCGGGCGCTCCCTCACCACTTCATGAATGCGCCCGAGAGCACTTGCGCACCCGCACACACCTGCGCCCCTCCGCCTTCCCCGGAGGCTCAGCCGGTCTGCGGTCCTAAAAAGGTTGGGGACCGCTGTCTTATATGGCTCGGTATTACACACGCATACGTGCGCAACACATGCTTCACAATGTTCACACAAGGTGTTTAACAATCTCCTCTCCACATACCTAAGAATTTTCATTTCTGTAACTGAGCTCAGTAGTGGAAAAAAAAGTTATATGCCCTGAGAAGACACAAACAGTGACCAGGGCAGCCCATGTCACAGACCCCAAAGTAGGCAGACACACCAGCCCTTGTAATAAATACAAATCTCTCTCTCTTTCTAGGGATGAAAAGTACCAAACTATGCAAGGGAGGGGAAGAGAAGGGAAGCCAATACTCACTGTGACTGAAGGGCATCCTTCACACAGAATACATTTTGGAGCCAACTTGGAGGTATGGAAAAGAAAACACCACTCTCTCAAAACTGGCAGGACCAGGTTTGCTAGGCTGCTTCTTACATCAACAGAATTCCTTTGCTTCGTTTTTTAAAATTTTTTTTTCATTCCTTCTGACTAGCATTTCTGCGTAAGCATCACCGCCAGAAAGGTGCCCCCACCATCAGCCACTTTAATGGATCCAAGCAATCCAAAGGCAGGGCCCATTGAAAGCAGAAATCCTGCCTCGCAGCATCCTTAATGCTGCAAAGCTGTGAAATGATTTGTATGGACGCTTGTTTTATCACAGAAAAAAACACGGTCTGACCCTAGCGTCCCCATTGCATGTGCAAAGCTGGAGCCTGTATTCTGACCGTTATGCATTATTAAGTGATTTGCGTATTTGTATCAAATTGGGCTAGCTTATTCTACTGTTTATGGTCACCGGAAAGCTCCAAGACCACTACAGGGCACTAAAAGCCTGCCCCGAACCACTGGGCATTCTTTGGACATCTGAAGTCTCAGCGGGCACCTCATTCACAACGCTTACAACCATATCTTTGCAGTCACAAGGGCCAGACATGGGCTTTGAGAATGAAGCATGCCCAGGGAACTGACGGAATCCCATCCAAGGTCCCGTCTGAATGACCAGTGAATTTTTTACCCTTGGGACTCCATGGGGCGTCATCTGTGCTTTTCTTCTTCTTTGGTAGTGACTTCAGGGCTGGATCATCCTCATCTGATTCCAAGGAAGGGTAAACTACAAAGAGAGGAATCGCAATGGAGCTGAATTCTATTATCACTAGCCTCCAGCTCACACTTTTACAGTCAGACTGAAGAACACCATTTTTAAATAAATAAATGCCACAATTTATGAGGCATGCACCAAACTGAAACACTAATGAAAGGAGTTCCAAATGTCCAGAATTCATAGGGATCAAGAACAGGGAGGCGTCTCTAATCCAGTGTCTCCAGCACCAAAAGGGTAGCTATGAATATTATTCTGCCCTTCACTACCAGTTCAAACTTTCAGATCACAAAAATGTACCACTGTGGGGAACCTAAGATGATTCATACAAATGCATCAAGCCATGGTAGAAGCAAAGGCAAGAACACAAAACTGACTTTACAGAAAGCTCTTCAAAATGGTATATGGCTAGCACCTCTTGCAGCTCTTCTAAGAGGATTTCAGAAAGGTATCCCTCCTCCCTGGCTTGTAATGGAAATGTTCTAACGGAATCTACCGCTAACAGATATTTTAGACCTGAATTCAGTGGAATTGTCTTTATTGATAACTGTGCCTATCAAAAGTAATTTTATTATGCTTTGTGTATTTGTTCCGCAAGCCCTTTTAGAGAGATTACAGTAGGTTCTTGAAAAGTGGTTAAGAAACAGATTATACTGAAATAATAATGGAATATAAAAGAAAACTGAAGGTACTAAGCATTCTCACAGTAATAAAACCGCAGCTTCTTGATCCCAAAAAATGCATCTTGTTTGGGATCAAGAGTACTATGATAAATCTATCCACTACTAAGTTCATTTCAAAGGACAGTTTTACTGAATATGATGGCAACCATTTCTTCTGTCTAGCTATGGTGTCCTTTATACCTGAGGGAAAAAAGAGAAGTTATGTGCGAAGAACTAACTGAAAGGGTGTTAATGAAACTCTCCCTGATTTTCAAAGGGCCCAAGGTGGGGCATTTGGAAAAACACCATAATTAACCTCGCTATACGGGGCATCACTGTATATATATATATATATGAACAATATATTTATGAACACCAATATATATATGAACAAAAGTTGTCTTGCTACAGTCATAAACACCCCAGATTTTTCAGCTAGAATAAAGTATTATTAATTAAGAGACAAACATGAATACAGTACAGCAAATATACATATTTGGTAACTATAATTTTAGAAAACCATATTTTTGCATGAATTATGGACTGCCTGGATTTTTTGATAGAAGGAGAAAAAATGGTTAGGCCTTATGGAGGGAGGAATGAAAGGCTATACTGATTTCATAGCAAGGCAAATCGGAAAAGACAGAATAATGAGAACAAGCACCGAATCTGGCAAAGTAGCCCACTTTCACAAAGCCTGGCAAGCTTTTCTCTCCGTCACTATGAAAGAGAGGTATTAAACAAGGTTCTGCAAACTCCATGCCAGATCCTGCTTTTTGTGTAAAAATGATCTTGAAAAGGAAGTTACTGTGGAATCCCTTTTTGCCTGCTCTGTAGTACCCCCCCCATCTCCGCTTGCCTCTCCGTTTTTGTTGCCAACAGCTCTCACTCCCACGGCTACATGGGCTTTGTTCTTCCCTGCAGTACAGAAAAGACAAAACCCATCGGCACAAAAATCACTACCATTTCCCTACCGAGGCAACTCAGAATAGCAGCTGCTCTTAGGGCAGAGGTGCCACAGGTCGGGAGGCTGCTATGGCACTTGTCTGGAGCACATGTCATTTCTTCAGGCAACTGGCAAGTGACTGGTGGTAAACAAGGTCATCTGGAAGCACACGACCCTGGACAGATCTCCTGCTCAAGCACCCCTGGTCCCTGCCTGGCAGGGAATCTGGCCTCGGAACCCCACAGAAGCTGGGCTCTGAGCAATCTGGAGGCTGCAGATTGGATGCCACTTTGGCCATGCTTACAGCAGACCCACTGAAATCAATGGGTTTCAGTTTGTTCATGGCTAACCTATTGCCCACTGATTCCAACTCAAAGGAAGACCAAGTCAGGATCCACCCCTAATGGTGCAACTGTGCCTGTGTCTACCCAAAAGCATCTCTTACTGAGATGTCAATGGGGCTTGCTCTCAAGAAAGTGCATACAGAACTGCACTAAGTAAGGTATTAAGTCTCATTTTTATGTAAAATACTTGGGCCCATATTTCATAGGCTGTGGCATGGATACACACTGATATAGCTTTGTGGCTTCCTTTCAGATCCCTCACCAAGCAGACGGAGGAGAACCCTGCTTCTTTCCCCTGCATTTTCTTCCCGCACAGAGATCCCTCTCTTTCCTTGTCCCACTCCTTACTGTATTCAGCGTCCTTGAAGCAGGCTCCCAGGCTCTCCTGCTCATCCATGCTGGCCTCTTCTTCGCTGTCAGTGCTGTGATGGGCCGGACGCTTGAGGGCCCTCTTCCCTGAGCGCTTAGTGCCAGAAGCCCCCGCTGAGCTGCGTTCATGTCCAGCGGCCAGCCAGGCCTGCAAGCCTGCACCTGGCGAGGACGAGGAAGACTGGAGGTTGGCCATGCATAGCATGCCCTGGATCGCTTCCTGAGTACTGGGAGAGGCAGGTGCATCGCTGGGGGACAACACATAAGATGTGCACTTAGTGTACAACCACAACAGCCAACATGCCATGGATTTCCTCGCCCCTCTACCTTTGTACCACAGCTCATGTCCTCTGGATAGGCTTAAGCACACGCCATGCTGAGATGACAGGATTGGAATTTGAAGCTGAAGTCTATGACTTCCAATGCGGAAGCAAAATATGACAATTCCTCTTGTCATGTGTTAAAAAAATCATAGAGAGACAGAGAGAACCAAATGTGTGTGTCATTATCTGTCACTGTGTGTATTTTATATATGAACATGTTACGGGGAAGAGAAAAATCACAGCGAGATATGAAGGGCCATCCCTGAAAAGGACACCCAGCCCCATCCAGGGCTTGTTAGATTTTAGGAGGCAAAATAAAGGGGAAGCTTTCTGTACTATCTTTGCTCTAAGAGAACCAAGTTCAGGGGAGGGGAGGGGAAGTGATAAATCAAGGTGGACACCAGTGCTAGAGATGCTTTCCAAATGAAAATGATCCATATGCACTACAAAGACAGGAATGGCAAATGGGTGAAGGACCTCCCTCCCCGATGCCCCTGCCTGCACACAGCAGTTTCACACGAAAGTGGCGCTCTTACATCCGGCTCCTCCCCTGCGTGCCAGTGCCAGTTCTAGACATAAATATAATTTGCAATTCAAAATAAAGCAAAAGTGCTTTCATAATCTTTGACGATATTCCTCGACACCAAAAGGATGAGTACCAGCTGTTTACCCACTGAATCCACTGTAACAGTGGAACTGAAATCAAATCTGTCCAGGCCTTCCCATCTATGTTACCATACTGGTTCTTAATAGCCTGATGTAACACATACAACCTCTTTGATCCTTCAGAAAATTCTAAAAGAAACTAAAACACAACTCCATACTTTACTGACAGGATTGTGGGTGGTGTTTTTTTTTTTGTTCGGCTTTGGTACTCTGCCTATCATTCTCTCGTCTTTCTACATTTCTTGCTTTCAATTTTAGCCATTTCTCCTTTATGTTTTCTGATTCTACCCTAAATTAGTTGTCCAAGACGCATTTCTCCTTCTCTTGACATGTTTTCTTCCTGTTAAACTTTTTCAGTAGACCCAGCTCTCCACTCCAACAAACCCACCCTAAGAAAATGCTGGGATGCACGTAGGCACCTACACGCACATGAGGTGGAAACTGACTCTGACGGATGTAGCCTAAAGAGGGAGCCTGCCCTCTCAACATGGAAGTTGGAGGGAAGATCATTTGCTTCTTCCTCTATCGTATCTCAAACACAGGGAGCCTGGTTTACTGAGGCGAGAAAACAGAGGTCCGAAAAGTTCTGCAGCCCGTTCTATGTATGCACAGACCCCACCACCACCACCACTGAAGCTGCACTGATGCCATGATGCAACTGCAAAAGGTTTTAAGGACCCCAGAATGGAGGATTTCCTGCAAGACCCTAGTGGCGGCTGGTTCTTACCTGAGCTCATCATAGTCTGCGCCGCCCACCTGCCGGCTGGCTTTCAGGAGGTCTAGGATGCCACCAGCGCTACTGCTGCCTTCCAACTGGTCGTCGCCAGAGGCATCCTCCTCCTCCTCCGTGGTATAGTCCTCCTGGGAATGAAACAAGTTCAGAGCAGCCTGGTTAGCAATTCGGTTTTAAAAGGAGGCAGAGCCTTCTAGCAATCAAATGCTTATTTTTCCTCTTTTTAGACATGTCTCCCAATGAGACTGAACTCTGGAAGAAGAGGCAGGAAGACTGGTTTGGGCCACCTGCTCGCCCTTTGCATGAGCCTACGCAAAGGGCACCCTCACCTTTTCTTTCTTGGTCTGGCACAGGCACAGAGGCAGTCCCTGCTAGGCACCTGAGCCTCCCCTGAGGCAGGGTATCAGCTTGGGCATTGAAGCACAAAACCACTGCTGTTCGCTCAAGTACACAGGGAGTTAAACAAGTTGTTTGTCTGTGGTACACAAAAGGAAGTGGTTGATCTATCTAATGAGCGGGAGGCATGGAATTCCCTTTGGAGTCTGACATCATTGTGAGGGGGGTTAATCGGGAGCTCTGAAAGGTAGAATTCTGCTCGTTGGCAGCTGCTGGTCACCTAATCCATATCACAGCAGTAACACGATCCCTCACAGGAGTTGTCTGAACCTCAACTACAATGCAGACTCTGCCAGGCCCGTGAGGAAGGCAAGGTGGCCATGTTTCAGACCACACATAATTACTATCTATTATTATTTTGCAACTTGTATTTTTTTAAAAAGGAGACTACACAGAAATGTTCTAAATTACATTGGGTTTAATTTACTCTCAAATGGGCTTAGTTTCACTTGGTTGAGCCACTGACATGCTGCCTGCACAGCAGGTTACTAAAAGAACAAAAAGCAAATTTAAAAGATACATGGTGAAGGACAATATATTTAAGAGTAGAGCTTTGAATCTTTTTGCAGACTGCTGCTCCCATCCTGCCCTCACCACTTTCCTCCACTCGATAAGCTTCCTTTCTCACTCAACAGTTCACATTTGTAGAAAAAGATCTGCCAGATTTCCACATGACCTTTATATGTGCCCTTTACTTGGAAAAGGATCAAAACCAGAACTGCTAACATCATAATACAATTACAGGAATCATTGGTATGGCCATACTTTGTTGTTGATTGTAATCAATATAGGTTAAAAATTCTGACACATTCTTTTCAGAAAGAATGCGGTACAGCAGGAAAGGGGGCAAAAAAGTGGGCATGCAAGATGATCAAGGGGCTGAAGAAGGTGGTCACACAACTCTTTGTTATATACACTCTGACTTAGTTCAAATGGTCAGAATCCTTCTTCTTACACATATATCAAATAGTGTACATCTCAGAACCACTAGTTGCAGAGTCACTGCTTCTGCTTTTTTCAGAAAGAATGCGGTACAGCAGGAAAAGGGCCAAAAAGGTGGGCATGCAAGATGATCAAAGGGCTGAAGAGGGTGGCCACACAACTCTGTTATATACACCCTGTCTTAGTTTAGATGGTCAGAATCCTTCTTCTTACACATACTGTATATCAAATAGTGTACATCTCAGAACCAAATTGCCACTAGTTGCAGAGTCACTGCTTCTGCTGCTCAAGTTACATCAAGTCCCCTGACTGGTGTGCAACAAGGAGTACAAGACTCCTTAACTAGTGGCAATTTGCCACTGAGACTTTTATCATTTGATTTATACTGGCCTACATAAGTTAGTAGGATTTTGGTCATGAAATTATAATAACTAGGTGACCGATGCAAAAACGTGGAAAGGTGAGTTCTGAGGAGATATGTCTGACAAGAGAAGGCCTGCAGTTCACTTACCTCGATGTCAAACTCCACTTCCCCTGGCTCTCGCACTCGGTTTGGGTCAGAGCAAGGTTTGGCGCGTGGTAGTTTCCGGGGAAATTCTGGAACCAGAAGAGAAGTAATGTTTCTGTACATACACAAATTATCAGGAAATAAGAAACTGGCTGATGGTTGAAGTGTCCCTGGTGCTATAGGACTGTGGAGATGGCAGACCATTACAGAGCTCCACAGTGACTCCAGCTACTGCAATCCTGTGCACCCTTACTTGAGGATCAGCCTCCTAACCACAGGGAATCTTATTTCTGAGTACACGTGCACACAAATGGATTTTTAGTTTGAAACCTCCCTAACTAGAGATCAAGAGCAGCTCTGGGGGAAAATGTGACTACAGCTGCTTCTGTTGTTAGACCTATTTGCTGGAAATCACAGAAGAACCAGGATTTTGGTGAGAAGGAGCAAAACATGTAGCCTTTTCAAGCAGATGCCTATGAGACAGAAAAGGAGGACAGAGCCTGGTAAATAGCGACTGAATATAGAAAGGTTCTTTAATACAGATAGCAATAAAAGGCAAATATGTATTTCGGGATGTGTCTGGATATCTTGCTGAAGAAGTCCTGAGAAATAATGGGGCATGGGGCAGATAATTCTGCTTCCTAAAAATGATTTTTAGAATATTTTTCTTTTTAATTGCTAAATACACTTTTTGAATCCTTATGTTGATGGACAATGATAACAATTTATTTTTAAAGTGTCTCATTCTTATGCTTATCAAGATACACTTGGACACCTGCAAGCAATGCTGGCTAAATCCCGTAAAGGGAATGGGCTTTCAGTTTCTTGTGTGCTCTTTCCTGCACTGCAGAAACACAAGTGTAAAGAAGAAGAAATAAGGCAAGTTAATTTAATTTCCAGATTACAGATGACCTCACAAGTGCTGCTCCTCCCCCTCCCTGCTGGCCCTCAATTGTGGCGTACACTCTCTCTGACAGAGCCATTTCCAGGCTGTCACAAATCTAAGCTTTGAGAAGGAAGGAGGGGGATGTTAATGGTACAGAGAAGGACACCATTCCTAGTCCAAGAAAGAGGAGAGATCAGAAAGAAGATGCAGAGGCAGGAGGGGAAGTGGTGAGGGTTATGGTTTGCCCAAACTCAGGATAGAGATGGGCCAGTCAGGCACAGACACTGCCTGGGGAGATTTGGTCCCAAAGGTTGAATGAGGCCACATACTGGAGAGTCTCTTCCGCAGCACGAGGTTCCTCTTTTCCCTGCGCGGGGTCTCGTCTATCTGTAGGTCCTCCTCAGAGTCGATATCGAGGGCCTCAGCATCTGATGGGCTCGGTGGGATTTGTGCACGTGCGCCTTTCCTGCTCCGGGTGCGTTCTGAGGCCTTGATTTTCCTGACAAAGGAAACAACAACATGGTGATTTCTCAGTCTAAGCAATCTCACTGTAAGGGGAAAAACTGGATGGGGCATTTAGAGAGGGGTGAGAACCAAAGACCCTGGGGCAAAAGGTGAAAATAGAACAGCATAAAATAGAATAAAATATCTTCTTTTATACAGATGGAGCCAGAACAGTGTAAAACTTGACCATAGGGAAGCACACAGTTCTGTCACCATGCATTTTCCTACTCAGCAACTAATGTACAGTGGTGCCCCACATGACAATAATCCGTTCCATAGAAATTGCTGTTTTAGCGAAATCATTGTCATGCAAAAACCATTTCCCCATTGGAATGTATTGAAACCCGGTTAATGTGTTCCAATGGGGAAAATACATCGTCGTCCTGCGAAGATCACCCATAGGGAAGCCATTTTGCGAGCGCCGATCAGCTGTTAAAATGGCTGTCCTGTAAGCATGGGTCCTGAAAACACAGGGAAGCCATTTTGCGAAGCCATTGATCAGCTGTAGAAATCGTCGCCTTGCGAAAAAATGGTCCGCGAAGCATGGACCAAATCATCATCCAGCAAAAATCGCCCATTGGAACCACTGTTTTGAGAATCACTATAGCGATCACAAAACCTCATCGTCATGCGGATTCATCATTTTACAAGGTACCACTGTATAAGTGTGGTTTGTATTTTGAAGCAGGCAAAGGCTGAGGGACCATGTTGACTCTTGAACCCACCTTACTCCTTACCAATCACGGACAAAAGTTCTTCATTCCAGCATTTCTTGCTCTTTGCTCCCATTTGCCTGTGCAGAAACCTCCTATGGTCATTGTTCACAAGTGGTAAAAATGGAATGCCAGAGGCCCCTGTTTGCAGCTCAGCGTCATAGACAGAGAGGGTGTATTCCTGGGATGCCAGTTTTTACAACTTAGACTACAGTGGAGCCTGAGTTTCCAATTGTGTATCACTGGTGTAGTTAGTTACATGAACCCAAGACAGCTACAAAGATGGCCAGCCAGAACTGATGGAACATCGCAGCTGGGCTTGCCCACACTTCCAGCCTTTCCTCTCACCCTTACTTGCACAAGCTATCCAGACAGAAGCATACCTCGTGCCCCGGCCATTGGCCACCACCAGGGTCAGCTCTTCCTCTGTCAGGTCAGGTTCCCCATCTGTATCTTCTAGGCTAGAACTGGGCAAGTCAAACTGGAAAGGAAAACAACCCCACATTTGGCATTTGTAATCGTAAGGGGCTATGACCCTCCATCCCAAAGTAACCACACTTAAGGCAGCAAGAAAGCTCAACCTACAGGTGGGGCATCCTGCTCAGAACGTGTGCAGCAGAGTTTGACCCATGTCACCACAATGGCAGCTCACCTCCTCCTGACCAGGACTCTCCAGGCTTTTCAGGGCCTGCCGCTTGTATTTCCGCAGCAGCTCCAGCTCCACGGCTTTGACGGAGGCGGCATCTTTTCGGCTGCCTTTCCGGCCACCATGTTCCTTGGGACTCTGGTCTCCCTTTTTGGCAGCTGCACCTGGCTGGGCACCCCTCTGCAGGCCAAATGGACTGCCCGTCTTCCCAATGTTCTGCTGGAATATATCCTGGAAAAGCATGAGTGCCAATTCCCTAAGGAAGCATGGTTCATTCCCCCCCGTCCCAGCCCCCAACAGAACATAATCACGCAAGCCAGAACTGAGACTGTGGGGCCTACAGATGCTGCTGTTGGAGTGCAGCTCACATCAAGCTTAGCCAGCATAGCTAAGGGTGAGGGATGATGGGGTCCTCAATCCATCATCTGGAAGACCAGGCACACACCAACTCAACACTGCCAGCCTGGTGGGTGGGTTGCCCAACCCAGACACAAATCACAACATAAAATAAAAGGCAGATAAGTATTGGCCACAGAGGGAGACCCCTGTGCCCTTTCATTAGGAATGCCAGGCATTGAACTTCCCACTTTGTGGCTACAAAACATTATGGCTCTCCCCCTAAACCATGAATATTAAACCCAAAGGAATTATACTGTAGATTAGCCTATCAGCAGATGTCGCTTACTCACTTCGATGGCACTCCTTGCTGACTCTGGAAACCAAGAAAGAGACCAAAGAGGAGGCTCCACAAGAACAGCAATATTCCTGCTGAAGCAAATTACCCAAAAGCTGTCTGGTGTCCCCCAGGACAGAGAGGCCAAGTCTGCAAGCCCTCTGTGTATGGGTTTGGGATGCCAGGGCATTTCTTCTGTGGTGTGGTATAAACAGCCAGGCTACCGTCTCTGCCATGGCTGCTCTGAGCACACCTGGGACTAGAAACAGCAACCCCTGGAATTACTGAACAAGTGACTCTACTCCAGAAGCCACTGTTCCCTGAAAATCATCACATGAAATCTGAAGTGAGAACTTCTTAGCATAGGTACCTTCCAGGCCATAATGCTTCACTCAACTGTGAACTGTAGAAAGTGCCATTTGGGAATGAGCTGGGAGAAACCCTCCAGCCTACTGTGTTAATGGGCTGACTAGGGGCCACCCCTGAGGCTTTACCCATTCACAGGTGGATGTGCCCACTTGCTATTCTGAGGGACAAGCTGTGACAAACACATCCACTTGCAAAAGCCCTACTCATCAGCACTCACCCCTGCTGTGCAATTTGGATGTTTGTAAAACGATCTACAAGCAAATCTACCTGGTAGGAGGCACACCCCTTTTAAGCAGGAAAGTTGCAGGGGCCAATATCCTTTGGATGCCACCCAGATGTTCATCACAGGGAACACTGGAAGAGGAGAGCTAGGAGCTCTCAAAGGACACTTAACACATCTGCAACAAATCCTAACATGGAGCTTTTTAGCTGTCTGGTACTAGCTGCAGACAGTACCACAAGGTCCCAGAATGATCTGCTACCATCCTTCCACTAAAGGATGGATGGGCAATCATTCTTTCAACCTGGGGAGGCTCCCTGCAACAGATATAGGGAACCTACTGCTGCTCTTTACCATTTCTGAAAGTCTGTCTCCTGCATAGGCTGAGGTAGGAGGTTACTACAGGGTGGGAAGGGATAGTATTGCCTCACTGATACCCCAACCCTATCATCTCAGGCTACTGTTCATATGATCTGTAGGAAAACAGTACTTACTTCCACCAGTCTGATCTCCTTGGCCAGATCTTTGATGAGCTGTGCTGGGCGAACAGTTCCAGGAATTTCTTCCTCATGCTCTGTCAAGGCCTGGAAAAAAAAAGATCTGGTTGCTAAAAGATTCACCCCTTTGAGTTAGACTCAAGGTTGGTGATGAACGCAAATATAACTACATGAAAGATGGAGAACCTGTGGCCTTTCAGATGTTTTGGACTTCAGTTCCCAGCAACCCCAGCCAAGATGGCAAGGCACTGTGGAATCTGTCGATCAAACAGCTGGAAAGCCAAAAGTCTTGCTTGAAAACAATAATACCCTCCCTGTGCATGAAGCCTACCTCTCATGTACTTTGTCTGTGATCTGAGCACTTCGTCTGTGATCTGGCAATCAGGGACGGATATGTAATATTCTCATGTACTTTGTCTGTGATCTGAGCACCCACAATCAGGAAATATCTTTATTAGGACCAAATAAGATTCTAAAAGACTGTAAGCTTTGAGTTCACCAGAATTCTTTCATCAGCAGGATATAGAAGTAGAAAATGTTGCAGCCATGAACATAAAGAGATCTCACAGTTCCCCTGTGTTTTCTGACATGGGAACCAACCTCCCTGATCTTTCTCTATAGCTTCTCTTGCCTTCCACATGCCTGGAACTCAGGACTACTTCTCAATGTGATGATCAAGCTGTATCCAAACTATGCTAATTCAGACTGCAGCTGGCACTCACATATATGGAAAAGCATCTATTCTGAAAAAACATTTCCCAACATGTAGAAAGCTTACGTGCTGATGAAAGGCTCAAACCTCCTTCTCAATAAGCAACTTTTCTATCTTTGGGAAGCTTTCAATTTCTTTTAACTGCTGGCAAGAACAGGTAAGAACAGAATAGACAAAGGTCTTAGCCAGTACCCCAACCCATCTCATCTCACATGAAAGAAACCCTTCTCTCTCCCCTTTACCTCCTTCTTAGTCCACGAGCGGAAAGCCGTGTTCAGAGCTTTGGCCCCATGAACCAAATAAGCTGCTGGGTGCCTGCGATTCTCTCGAAGACCTGTCAGGGAAGACAGAAATCATCAAAAGCAGCCTGTCTCAGGCCCAATAAGAGGCGGCCCTGGAAAGTGTGCACAGATATGCATCAAGCTCAAAACCCACCTCGGAAGATATCCAGGAGGTGCTTGCCAACATACCAGCAGATGGTTTCGAAGTTGGGAAATTTGAACAGATCGGCCGTGCTGAGGCGTTTTTCAATCTCATAGGCCCTAGAAAGGAGAAAAAGAAGAGTCTGGTGAAGCTTGTCTGATAAAAACTGCAGAACTTCGGGCCACGAGAAGCTACATTTTGTGATAGGAAGGAAGGGAGCTCCCACCCACTCGCAAATGAAATCTGAAAGTTAAGCAAAAGTGCAGGACTGATCTTATCTCATATAAATTGCTGCACTGCTGCTAATTATGGAAATGAGCAGGAAACTCCACAGGTTACTATAAATTAGGCCTCTGCCATTTGCAATGCTTCTGTGAGACCATCAGGCATTGTCCACAGACCCACCCAAGCCAATCAACACAATGATAAGACCTAGTAACTTGTGCTGCTGAAGTTTAATCATTGATGTAACATTTAATGTTTTGTTATCACAACTTGGGCCTCTCTGCCTACTAAGCATGTGCTCTGTTATGGAGCGAAATGTGCAACTTCCTGCACAAATCCAAATAGTTCGCAGTGGGGAGAAAAATCACTCTTGGCCAAACTCACTTCAGCTGCATCTCAATGTTTAGACTGTGGAGAAAGTTGCCTCCAAAGGCCAAGCAGTCCACAGGGGTCAGCACGGCATGGATCCACCCTGAACAAACAAGCAAAAGAAGGGATAAAGTAAGTTACACGGACTGAGGACCAACATCTTCTAAACATTCAGTGCTACGGAGAAGGAAGACAATGGCCATAACCACCACAAAGAGGTGAAGGAAAAGCAAAGGCATTTAACAGTCTAACTGCCCCCACCTGCTCTGGACTGACATTGTAGCCCAAGGCGCAGGTGCCCCCCCCCGGAAGTCTGTGTACAGAAGTTAACTGGATGCGTAACAGGACTGATGGGAGAAAGCCTTCTGCTGCTCCTTAAGGCACCAGGTCAATTTGGGGATTTCAAGAGAGGAGGAAGCAACTGGGCCTTATCCCTTCCCAACAACAGTGTAGGTCTTTCTGAATGGAAGCCACAGGAAGGCAAAAGGAGGGTGCTTGCAAAGGGAGGACATAAAAGCATGGGCAGCATTACAGAAAGAGCGATGGCAACAGTGCTTGCCAGCTAAAGTTGTTGGGCTCGAGCCCCAGGGATGCTGTACCTGTCGGTATGAAGAGTGTCTGCCCCTGACGGACTGGGCAACGATAGCATTTGTCCACCTGGTCCCCAAAGAACATCTCGTTCTGATTGGATGAACTGCTCCATGCCTCAAACAGCGTCAAATTGGCAGCCGACGGGCGCACTAGGTAGAAAATTTTTTCTCCCTGCAGAAAAGGTTTGAATTAAAAAACTATGAGAGCCTCCTAGGGTCAGGGGTGGGGAACTTTTGGCCTACCAGAGGATTTGGTCTTGCAGCTCCCATCCAGCATTACAGTCCAAAACATCTAGAGGGCCAAAGATTCCTGTCTTTGGCACTAACAAACTCCTTCCTCATCCGGAGAGTTCATTCCTGCCTGATATGCCACATTTATCTTTGCTTTTCAAAACTATTGAAACTGAAGGGATTGTGGAGAAGACAAACCAGACAAAACCAGATGTTGCCAAAGGGCAGGGTCAGTGGGTGTTGAGGAAGCAGCACGTTACTTTACAAAGGAGCGGTGAATGTGGGGCACAACAGACGACCAATGTTTTCTGTCTACGCGGCCCAATCTCAACATGGCCTTAAAGCAACCTCCACAGATGCCTCACTCATCCATCCTTGGTAAGCCGCAAGATTTCATAGCTTAAGTGAAGAACTACTTTTTGTGCTAGGTTAAGTCAAGTGCTTTGCCTTTGGGTTAATCTCCTTTCATCCATAGACTCAATATGCCAAGTTTCCTCAGCACCTGACATATACAATCACTCTGAACCATCTGCTGTTGGCCCGCCATTTTCCCACATAATGATGGAACAAAAATCACGCCAAACTCTAGAAAGGTAACTCCATCTTTGTCAGGAGTGGCAATCAGGGACGGATATGTAATATGTCAGAGGCAGGGAATGCATGGCCCTACCACTGTTGCTATGAATACAATCCCATCAGCCCTATCCAGGACACGCTAGGCTGAAGGATCCTGAGAGCTGCTATTCAGGAATGTGTAGAGGACCTATGGTATATAGGGACCAAATCCCAAGCATGGACTGGCTCCCCTGCAGCTTCGGTCCAATTGCCCTGGCAGAAGAAGCCTGGCGATAGGTTTTGACAACATCCTATGAACACACAATGCTAAGCATAAGCTTCTGGGTGACTCCTTTTCATAGATCCAGAATACTGCATAAGGGCTATATTAGAGCACTTCAGGCCTCAGGTTTGCATCTATTTATTTTTACTCTTTTTGTATAATAAGGAAAGTCTTGAAAAGAATATATATATATTCTAACATTCAACTCCCATCTGGAATCTGGACAAAGAATAATCATGTCAGCTTTCTGAAGGTATGGCTCAGCTCTTAAGAACCCATTCCTCCCATCCCTGCCTTCTGCATCACAACCTTACCCGCAGCACGTGGTACCAGACAGAGGTGCCCCCAAAGTCAATGTGGAAATCTGTGTAGCTGTCCTTCACTCCCATTAGGCAATATTTCTGTACATTGGGCCGCTCAAACACCGACTCCCCCGGCCACAGGTTCTCCACCCAGGACAACTTGCGCACAATCTTCGGAGTTTCCACCAAGTTAGAGAGCCTGGAAATTAAGGGGGGAAATCAACAAGCTGGTCTACTCCAGATGTATTAAGCTGGGGCGCAAAGTTCTGTGACAGTGGGAATACCCACTCCTGAGATCTTTCTCCTGTCACCTCAAAATATTTTTTTTAAAACCAAACTACTGAATTTAGTGCTAGACCACCTTATCACTGCATTGATACATACACTTAGTGCTAGTTCACCTCTACACAGGCAAAAAAGAAGATAAGGAAGGAGAGCCAGGGATCACCAGGTAGGCAGTATCAAAGGAAAAGGGAGTCATGAGTTCATACCAAATCACACTGAGGGCCAGTGTGGACACTGGCACCAAAACCATTGAGGATCTTCACTTGATCAGCTAAATGAAAAAGCGATACTGACTCAAGGCAGAGCACAGCCAAATCATACCCTCTTTGCTGACACTGACAGCCTCCTGCAGCAAGATGCAACGCAGTGACTGGGATTTAATACAGCCTTAAAGCAGTGCAGGGAAAGGGGATGTATGCTGCCTTCCCCTCAGGTACTGTTAGGCCACAGTCTACCTCATTGTGCATCACAAGCTACGCTTATCCAAAGCGATGGGAAGTGCAGTCGAACCGCCACTTGCTCCTCAGCTGGGCACCAACAGCTCCAAATTCTCTCCAGCCAAACTGCAGCAGAAGGTGACAACAACTCCTTCACCCTGGTGGCTTTCTTGGCAAAAGCCAACCGCCAAACTGGCAGGGAACACAGGATCCTTTTTTTCCTCCTTTGCTCCAGACTGGCCTGCTTCTAATGGCAAGCAGAGGCTCTTCTGGGTTTGGTGGTGTTTTTTTAAAACAGAGAGCAAGACAACACTTCGTACATGTCCCATGCCATGTTTAGCTCAGTTCTCAGGCAAGATGTTAACCCAGTGCCTTCCAGGCTCACAGGCACAGCATTACGTATCAAGGAGGTTCCTCTGCTCCCCTTCCGCCTCTATATCAGTGGTGAGGAATCTCCTGTTAAACCTCACATTATATAAGAAGGAATCTATCAGGTTTTGCATTCCAGGAGGGCGTGGAGCCAGAACCCAAACTGGGTGGAGGTACACCTTAGATCATTAGATGGGGGGGGCAAAGTGAGGCAGAAACTCCCTCACATCACTTTGTCCTTCTTTCCACCAACCTTCTTGAAAGCAATCGTTTTCTGCAGCTCTGTTTTAGCATGAACACACAAGATAAAACACCCCGAAAGCTCCTACATAACTCAGCTCTTGAAAAATAACTTTAAACTTTTTCCCCCAACACCGGTGCTTCTTACTTGGACTGTTTAGATTTTCTTAGCACCATTTCTGCCCATGTTTTTAACAGCAGTGCAAGGACAGAAACTGAACAAGTGTAAAAGCACTCTCAGGGAAAGATTATAGTACTGCTTCTCACATTGATTATAATACTATCAAGCTACTCCTTTCATGCTCACTAACTTTAGAAAATCCTTCATGCTCCCTGTTGTAATTTTTGAAGCATTTTTCATATGTAAACAAAGATGACTTTGCTAACTGTAAGATATTCTTTGTAGCTCTGAGGTCCTAAGAATATTCATACAAATTCTCCCTTTGTGTTACTTCTAAGGACAGAAAAGAAATATGTTGGATTTTTATCTCCCTACAAAATATTTGTACCTCCCAAGACCATCCACAAAAGGAAGCACACCTTGCCTCAGAAATCTCACAAAGTTATGGGAACACACAAAGTGTATAATGTACACACTTTAAAAAAGTGAACAGCTAGAACTCATATATTTGAAAAATATATACAGGCATGGTTTAAAAGGTAAAGGTTCCCCTTGACATTTAGTCTAGTCATGTCCAACTCTAGGGCGCAGTGCTCATCCCTGTTTCCAACCCATAGAGCCAGCATTTGTCCGAAGAGTTTCCATGGTCACGTGGCCAGCGTGACTGGATATGGAACGTCGTTACCTTCCCACGGAGGTGGTCCCTATTTATTTACTTGCATTTTTACACGCTTTTGAACTGCTAGGTTGGCAGGCACTGGGACAAGCGACTGGAGCTCACTCTGTCGCGTGGACTCGATCTTACGACCGCCGGTCTTCCGACCTTGCAGCACAGAGGCTTCTTCAGTTTAACCCGCAGCGCCACCACGCCCCCAACAAGCATGGTTTAGTCAATGGGCAAATTGACACCCATAAATGCATGCTTTGAAGGACTATCCAAAATATGAAATCTTGCAACCTGGGGTGGAACTGAGGCAAAAAGAAAAAAGGAGTGGAATTTGGGGAAATGCAACAAATGTGGAACAAAAAAAAATTCCACATTTTGAATGAATTAATTTTGGAAGCTAACCTTTCTGAGATAAATTTGATTGTGGTTTGTAATCGGTTTTCACACCCCCACCACGTTCTACAGCCATCCTTGCCACCATTGAACCACATTAACCCTTCCAAGGGGGAAAAATACATTTTCTTCCTAGCAGTGGTTTTTGCATTATTTGTAGCTGACTCTGCCTTCATTCATTCTCCTGACTGCAGAGGACTTGCAGCCTGCCTCACCCAGCCACAGTCGCCTCCAGGAAGCTACGTCTCACGGCAGCTGCTTCTATAGCCACAGCCAAATCAGAGGGAGGCAAAATGTTGCTGCCATATTGCTTCCTCTCCCTTCTCAGAGACAAGCAGTTGAAGGAGGGCATCCGCTATTGTGTCCCAACAGAATGCACCAGAATGGAACAAGTGCTGTGACACAGTAGAGGATGGAAAAGGGGCCCATGGTTCCCTGTCCTCCTGGTAGGACCTCCAGCCAACATTAAATGCAAGCTTCCCAAAACAAGACTCATCTTCCAAACAGAGGTTTCTGAGAGTCTGGAGATATTTCTGCTTCCCCTGCCCATGTCAACACTACCTAAAATTGCTGGTCCTTCAAATGACAAGATGTGCACTCAAAGCTTCTCAGGGGTGCAGTTTGCCATTTTATGCAATTCTGGGTCCTAATAAGTCTTCTTCAGGCTGCAAGAATCTTTTCCTAAAATCAGGGAATGGCTGGTGAGTCATTTCCTTTTAAAAAAATACCTTTCCTGGCCTAAATCTGATCTGGAAATTACATATAAATAGTAAACTGTGCCCCTTGGAGACTTCTAGAAGTGTGATCCGTCAATTGTGGGACCCACAATTTTACTGCAGGTTATCGGGATCATGAGGGTCACACTGGGAACTTGACTTTGTTCATCCTGCCCCATGCCTTTATGTTTATGAGGACTTCCAACTCCTGTTGCAAACATGAGAGGTAAAGGGACCTCCCTCTCACTCCTGCTGCATTTAGAAAGCTACAGAGAAAAGGCCACATGGAAACTGCAAATACACGTGTGAAAGGTGAAAAACAAAACCGGCTAACTTTGGGATGCCAAGAAACTGAGCAAAAAATAGAACCGTTTTCTGGCAAATATGAGAATGCTTCCGCAAAGTTTTCCCCTGGTGGAGAAGAACCAAAACCAGCATGGCTGCCATTGTGCCTCCCACCCCATCCCACTCCTTTGCTTGCCTGGTCTCGGAGAACTCCAGGCTGATCACGTTGAGCACTTTCTCTCTCCGGCTGCCGCAGTAATAGCTGACAAAGTCGCCCAGGCGCATCTTGAGGTCGGCCTGGCGTGTCACGTCAATCACATCAATCTCCTTGTCAGCACCTGTTGGAAAAAACAAACAAACAAACCAAGGATGCCATATGCCTGCAGTGCTCAGGAGGCGAGACGTCTGGAGAGAAAAGGGGATGGCAACTACAGGATAGAGCCACGCAGCTCCTTTCCCCTCCCTGGCAGAGAACGACTCTATCACCAACAATCGTGCTGTTGTGAAGCACTCAACAAGGTCTCCAGAAACTCAGTAGTACCATAGTACCCATCCACCCCCAGTAGTGGCAGAGAACGACTCTATCACCAACAATCTTGCTGTTGTGAAGCACTCAACAAGGTCACCAGAAACTCAGTAGTACCATAGTACCCACACCCCAATACCTGTTACTTTCTTCTACCTCTTTCCTTAAGGGGTCAGCATGGATATACTCCATTATGGAATAACCAACAAGCAGTCTTCAAGGAGCAGGACACAACACAGTGACTGGGATTTAATACAGCCTCAAAGCAGTGCAGGGAAAGGGAATGCATGCCTCCTTCCCCTCAGGTACTGTTAGGCCACAGTCTACCTCATTGTGCATCACAAGCTACGCTTATCCAAAGCGATGGGAAGTGCAGTCGAACCGCCACTTGCTCCTCAGCTGGGCACCAACAGCTCCAAATTCTCTCCAGCCAAACTGCAGCAGAAGGTGACAACAACTCCTTCACCCTGGTGGCTTTCTTGGCAAAAGCCAACCGCCAAACTGGCACGGATCACAGGATCCTTTTTTTCCTCCTTCGCTCCAGACTGGCCTGCTTCTAACAGCAGGTGGAGGACTGCATATGGCATTGTCAGAGGCTCAGCAGCGAGTTCTAGGGCACTGGTCGCCACACAGAGGCTCCCAGAATTCCCAAGCAGAATGGCCCAGTGGGCAATCATTTTGAAGGCTATGATACAACACACCGAAGGATGCACAAACTACCAGTCTAGGAGCGCTGCCCAGACTGACGAGGCTTCCATTTTGCCTCAGGCAAAATTGAGAAAGCACCACAGAACACCTCCAACAGAAAACCTTTCCTGAGAAACAGTGGAAGGAAATAGTTCAGAGCAATTGTGCTGCTGACTTACTCTACAAGCAGACCAAGGTGTGTAGTACATCTTTAGCATAGACTTGGGGGCTAAAAAATGAGCAATTCAAGTGGCCCATGGCAGTGCTGTCCAGTTTTTATGTTTTCACTAAAAACCCAAGGGCAGAGACAGGTACAAATAACAAGCAGAATTTGAAAAACAGAGTGCTTCAGAGCAGATTCTGAGCTTAGTCTTTTCACTCAAACATTCACTTGCAGTTTTCCCTGAACCTTCTTTATTTTAACTGTCTAATTTCTGTGGGGAAAGTCCTGTGGTTGGTGTGATTAAGAAACAATTTTGAATCAGAACTCCTTGTTAATCAACTGCAAATCACCTGGAGAGCTATTTCCTGCCCACCTGTAACCAAAGATGAAGGATAAAGTGCCTTTTTCTTTGTTACTTCATCAGTGAAAACCCAGACGTCCATAAAGTGGGGGGTGGGCAGCTGCGAGAGGTCCAGAAGTCACACACACACACACACACACACAGCCCAAGACCTTGGAGGCCCATATCCTCTCTGGTGTCCCCCACCAGCAAAATATGTTTTGCTTCATTTCTTTAACCCCTCCCTCCCCTGTGCCTGCAGTGGCTGCAAGAATGACTTCTGTTTTCAAATTCCCCATCCTAGAACGACAGACAGGGAAAGCAGGACAAAATTGATCCCCTTCCCCTCAAGGTGGCAATGAGCCTTTCAGAGATATTTTTTTAATGTGGGAAGCATGGGGCCCTAGGCTGTAATGCCAAGCACAGCCATGCAGCTAAACCACCCCACAGGGCAAACGTGAAGAATCTAGCTTTCCAACTATTTGAAAGTGAACTGTGGAAATCCTTAGCCAGAACAGCCAAAGGCAAGGGACTGCGGAAGTTGTAGCACAAAAGAGATTGAAGGCAAAGGCTCCCCACCACCACCAACAGCAGCAAAAAGGAGCTCCTTTTAGTTACTCACCCACATAATGCTCCACGTCGTGCACAGTGAAGGATGGAGGGGGAAGAGTCATACCCAGCCCGTCCTTCTTCAGAACAAGGATTGGTACACTGAAGCTGTTCTCCTCCAGAAACTCCACAGTCAGCTGGGCTCCGCTTGGCTTTAGGATCACCTCATCCGCACTGAGGAAGCGGAAGGGAGTTAGGACAAGTATACAAGCTTTGGTTCACCAAGGTTACAGAGGAGTATCAACCCCATTTAAGCAAATTGGATAGAGCAATGGTTCCCAACCTTGGGTAACCCAGGTGTTCTTGGACTGCAACTCCCAGAAGCCTTCACCACAAGCTGCACTGGCTGGAGTTTCTGGGAGTTGCAGTCCAAGAACACCTGGGCTACCTAAGGTTGGGAAACACTGTATTAGAGAATATGGAGAGCTCACCAGCAACTAATCTAACAGTTTCTCCCTACATCTTGGTTTGTCTAGTACACCTGGGCTGGGTAAACTTTGGTCTTCCACATGCTGTGCCTACCAATCTCACAAGACCTTACCACGGGCCTCCTGGGTGAGGTTGATGGGCACTGTAGACCAAAACATCTGGATGGTTCTAGGCTATCCACCACTGGAATACACATTTAAGATATCTTGTAGTTTGTTGTTGTTTTGCTGTCTTTTAGTTTGGAATTGTTATAAAGAATATTGTTTTATTAAAAGTATCATTTCTTCACTCAAAATTTTTTAACATACTATTTGCTCCTAGGACTTGCTGGAAGAAATGACGTTTGGAAACATTCTATAACAAATAGATATGTGTCTGCTTAAAATGCTTCTAGATTGCCTTTCATTTTGATAAAAAGAAAAGATTTAGCATTTAGCATCCAGCATGAATTGGCCTGTTGTTTATATTTTAAGAGGTGGAAGGGTCCTCCTCCTTTTGCTTTTGGTTTCTTTCTCCTCAGCAACCACTGCCACTCCACCTGGCCCTCTCCTGGGAGACTTTCCGTGCAGCTGCCTGTCAGGCAGGCAGGGCAGAGGGGTGTGCAGCTGCAAAGACAATCCCCAAGGAGCCGGGTTGCTGTGGTGCTGGAGGAAAGAAAGAAGACAAAAATCACAGGTCACAGATAACACAGTAGGTCTCATTCCAAAACAAGCTGTGCTCCAGACCGTGCCGGGCAACTGAGGAGCTATTTACTGGGCCAGTTAGGCTTGTTCATTAAAAGCATTCAGTGCTTTACTGCCCACCAGGTCTCTGAAACTGCTCTCCGATAAAAAGGATAAATGCATTTTAAAACAGTTTTAAAACAATTGTAGAAGCCACTTTAAAATCAGGCTTAAAGTAGATGCCATATTTTTTTCATAGCTTAAAAAGGGCTGTTCGACTTATTTCCTTTGTCCCTCTCTTTGGTTCCTTCTTTTTAATTTACAACTAAAATTAACAAAAGCTTTTAAAGACCACCTTCAAAAACGCCTTAATTAGGATAAAGACATAATAGGCTGAGATACACAAAATTCCACCACCAAAGAAATAAATCTCAAGCTTGATGTAACTGATTGTTACCATATTATTCCTACTGTCACACCTACTAAATCCTCAGAGAGGTGAGAAGCAATCAACACCTTTTTTCAACAGCCAGTTGTCTACAGGGTAAGCCTGGAGCAGACCATTAAATCAAAGGTGGGGAATGTGCGCCAGACTGCAACTCCCATCAGTCCTAGCCGGCATAGCTACTTGTGGCGGTTAACGTGTTTTAACTCAGCAACACAAGATGCCAATATTATATACAGGTCACGGTTAAAGTGTGGGAAGGAAGGATTTGTTCTATCTACAGGCTACAAGGGAGAGAGACAACAGAAGATTCCATGGCTATCTACCAAGGTCTCAAAAAACACCCTAATATTGCAACTGTATCAACTAGAAGTTCACCCTGGTTTAACAGCCAAAGGAAGCAAAATCTCAGACATAAGACTTTATTCTGAGCAGGCAAATGTAGAATAAAAATGTTCCAACCAGAAGTACTAGATTCATGGCCTCCCAGAGCAATGGCTTTACTCTCTTGGAAGCCCAGCTCCCCTGCATCATGGTTTTTGGCACGACTCTTTGCTTCTCTTCCAAGTGTCCCAGAAACCATCAAACATGACCCTACCTAGGAAACGTCCTGCTGCGAAGTTCCTTGATGAACTGACTACTGCCAGTCTTCACTGTCTTGCCAACCTCTTTACTCACAGACGCATCAGGCTGCTTTGGGTTCCCCCGGCGCCGTTTCACTAAGTGGCAGCAGGTGGGTTTGGGGGAGAAGGGAAGAGAATTAAAACAAAAAAAAATGTCATTCAAATGCACTAGATGAAATAAGGGCTAATGACCAAATAGTGGAACAGTATAGTACAGAATGAGTAGGCAGTAGCTGGAAGCCCAAGTCCAAAACCTCACTACACATCTTTTAGCAGAGCCATTCTCAATGGGGGTCATATGGCTTCTGGGGGGGGGCTGGCACATTTGAAGGGGGGCACAGACTGGAAACAATTCTTCATGTATTGCCTTATAAGGTTCGCTATGTGACCTTGATTCAGTCTATATTTCTTTTATATTGTTTATGGCTGTGGCCAAAAAAAGAGGCTGAGAATGGCTAAAGTTCAGCAGACAGAAAGTATGAAATTTATCTCTACACCTGCATTTTTTTCAATCCAGCAGTAGCACTTGATCACGGGGATCTGAACAACACTACGGATTTTGTGACTTGTTCCCCAATAGAGGCCATGCAGGAACTAGCATACTTGCTTATATCCCATTACCAAAGCCCAGCAGGAGCAGAACTTACTGACAGATGGTCCATGAAGAAGTTGGCAGTTGGGGCAGTGATACAAGTCAATGTCAGCTGCTGCATCCTCTTCCACTCCAACACAGCTTGCAGAAAGAAGGACACAGTCATGTACTTCCCACAAACAGAAGCAACAGTTCTTGACAACAAGACACAACCCAGAGACTCTTCTCACAATTACCCAGCACTGCACAAGAGTCCATCTTCTTGTGACTCTGAATCACATGAACTACCACTCAAATCAGAGCTCACCCACTTCGTATGTTCCACGTGTCCATCTCAAGGACAGGTACAAGAGCTAGGGAAAATATCCGCTTGACATTTCGGAGCATCACTGCACACAACACTATGCTAGATAGTTTCCTTCTTTGATCCAGCCTAACTTGGTAATCTATAAACCCAGCATACCTCTTGATAACCCGGTGGTACAAAAAAATTTCCCCATGGTCCTGCTTTTGACTCAAGAAGAGGTATCACCCTGCGGTCTGGAACTGGAACTGTGTTTGCCCATTTTAAAGCCTAGTTTTAAAAGGGGGGGAAATATGTAGCTCAGTAGGCTTTGCACGGCTGCATGAATTCATGTCTTGGCACGGTACTGATTCATTTTAGGGTCACATGCTCCAGAATGTAAAAACACACTCTATAAATGTGCAGGTGGAGGTTATGTGGGGTTGAAAAGACAAAATGAAAACAGGATAGCTTTTATGTGCTGCATTTCTATAACATCTACTGCTGCTCAGCCTTCTGCATTCAGTAGGACAAAAGCAGGTAACCCTTTGCCTGCCAGATATTTTGAACTGCAATTCCCAGAAGTCCCAAGCCAATGGTAAGGGGTTATGAGCGCTGTAATCAAAAAGATTCAAAGAGTCAAAGGTCCCCTCCTCCCCCTTAGTTGCCACAGCAATAGGAGGCTTAGGTCGCCTTGCTTAAGGAATGTTAATTATTTTGCAGGCAAGCACTGGAAGCATATTGCTGGATTCATACTTCTTTAAATCCATGCTGTAGTCTGCAAAATCCATTCCTGGCAATCATCTTCAAAGTACCATGTGCAGACACAGTATATAACCAAATGTTCGCCACTAAGGTCAAGCAAAAACAGGAAAACAAAGTGCCACTTATGGAGGGAAAGGAAAATATCTGGACACTTTCGCAAACAGTATAGGCAGGATTAGCTAAACCTCGGTCTGACACAGTTGTGCAACTTTTTTGCCCACTGTCTTTCAAAAAATATTGTCATATTTTATATATTTGCACAGCTAGGGCTCCCAAGTTAAAAACTCCCCCCTTTCAATAATAATAATAA